GTCTTTATTACCCCTTTCTGTTTATTTATTTTATCCTTTAGAGTTCAATTTGAACTTTCTATAACTGCTTGTCCTGTAGGATTATGTCGTATGCCTATAATATGTTTTCTATTGTAAAAAGCAAAAACCTGTTTCATTTTATTAGAGACATATGCTAGACCATTGTCTGTATTTATTTATACGGGTATATCCATGATAGCCATAAGTTCTAGCAAATGTGTGATTACCAAATCAGCCTTTTCTGAATTCAAAGCAGTTGTCCATTGAAAACCTGAAAAGGTATCAGTGGTGTGGTGTACATATTTTAGTTTTCCAAATTCAACAAATTGGAATACTTCTATCTGCCAGATTTCATTCCTTTGAGTAACCTTTGGGCTACTTCCTACAGGTAGTAGTGTTTGGTTGTATAAAGAACAAGTAGAACATTTCCTTATGTTTCCTTGGCTTGTTACCACATGATGGAAAAGTCTTTTTTTTTAACTTTTGCTATTGACATGATGGGTTTTTTTTTATGAAATTCTGAGGCCTTCAGTAAACTTACAATTAATAGTTGATCAATTCTTCATTACCTTGTGCTAGATGGCCTGGCAGGCCCATATAGGATCAGATGTGTGTTATATATATGGGATGATTCCTATTCCTGATTATTTCTTGTAACTGAATAAATAATAAAATCAGTTCTACATTATATGGTATCAATTCGGTGATTTCAACATGCAAAACAACTATTTCTGCCTATTGCAAAATAGGTAATTTGTTGAGAGGTTCCATAAAACCCATTAATATTGTGAGAATAGCATATAATCCTGACTTTTGGATAAACATGTCAATCCCAGTTAAGTTGATTATGCCTTCATTTAATTGATTTAATTATTCCAATTTTAAATCATGCATTGCATAATCATACAGAGACCTAGTTCTCTCCATCAAAATTATGTTTCCCATTTTTTAATGTGGGGAAAAAACTTTTTAAGTAATTCCTCCTTTAAAGACTTTCCAATTGTCACACCAAATCTGCCAATGTTGGAGCATGTGACTCCCACTGCATAGCACGTCTGCGTGGAGAACACAGGTGCTGCACAGTCTGCCTGAGGACAGCTGCTAGTCTGTAGCTGTGAGCTGAGTGCTTGTGGCAGGAGCTGTCTGGAGGTAGAGCCAGCTGGTCTAGGACAGGTAAGCTCTGTGACATTAGAAGCCCAGGTGCTTCTGGAGTTTGGGTGGCAGATGGAGACTGTTTTAGAGAAGCTACCGCAAGAAAATCCCAAACTTGCTCAGAGGCTTGGGGAAAAAGAAAAGAAAACCTAGCTGGCGGGCAGCGACTCTAGTGGGAGCTCTCGCACATACCAGTGTCTGCAAAGCCCCAGGCAAGTGGTCTTTTCGTGAATTCATGCCATAAGGTTGGGTGGCGATTGTTGACGAGTGCTAATTGGTATCAATAATAAAAACCCAGAGACAGGTATTAGAGGATGAAAAGCTAAAGGATCCAAGAAGCAGAGCAGGCAGCCACTGGAGATCTTACCTCTATGACTCCCAGCCCTAAAAGAGAGACCGAACTCTTCTCTCCATCCTGTCTTATCACTTCCTCTCTCCGCCCAGCCATATCACTTCCTGTCTGTCTGCACAGACCTCCAGACCTCTATAGTTAGCTAATGGCTATCCCTTTCTCTGATCTTCAGACAAGCTTTATTTGTTAGAGTACAACCAAAATATCACCACACCCCTCTGTTTATTGTCACCCCAGAATTTGAACTTCCATTTCCCTGATTGCTAATGAAGCCAAGAAAATGCAAAAAAGTCTATTGAAATTTTTAATGGAATTACATTTACTCTATAGATGATAAGGGGAGAATGTTGTTAGATGGCTCTCTCACACAGTTGCTGAGGTCATCTGGTAGAGCACTTTCCATTCTCAGCAATGCTCATGTTTTCTGCAGACACCTTGCAGGCTAGCATGTCATTTATTATGTGCTAGATATTTTATGTTTTATGCTGTGACAAATGCTTTTGCTTGTATTCTTTGTTTGTAGTTTGAGACAAGATCTCACAATGTAGCTTTGGCTAGCACAGAACTCTCTGTGTACACTAGGCTAGTCTGGAGTTTGCAGTCCACCTGGTTTAGCCTCCTCCACAGTGCTGGGGTGCAGGCATAAGCCACCTTGTCCAATTTTATAAATACTATTTTCATTTTTAGGTGTGTTGCTGATATATTTACAATGTGAATATTTTCAAATTTTACTTTTTGTGTAACTGCAGTTTGTCTGTGAATTTGTTCAAATTTCTTTTGTATTTGATTGCCTGGTGGGCAGTCTTCCCCACTCCTCTTCTAAATTATGATGACTTTAATTATTTTATTGGTGTTTATTAAGACTAGGACCTTCTCTGGCTGTGAAGGTCCACCCTGGTGGTGACAGCATCAAAGGGGAGATAAGTTACAGGATTTTTTTGAAACCAGATCTCACATAAGCCAGGTTGGCCTGGAATTCACTGAGTAGCCAAGCACGGCCTTGACCTTTCCTGATCTTCAGGCCTCCAGCCAGGGTGTTGAGATTACAGGTGCGTGCCGCCACACCCAGTTTCCGTGTGCTGCAGAGTGAGTCTAGAGCCTTGTGTGTGCTAAGGCTCAACCTGCCCCACCGGTGCAAATTTTTTAATTGCGTGTTGATAGATTTGGTCTGCTAATGGTGGGTTTAGGAGTTTTAAGTCGAGGTTCACAAATGAGCAACTCCTGTGATTCCTACTCTTTTTAAGTCTATCCTAAGCCTTGTTTCTAAGGGTTTGTTAGATTCTCAGTACATGGGCAGCTGAGTTTGAATGTGTTTGAGAAAGAGGAATGTTATCAGTTATAATTCACAAGGGAAACTGTCACAGCTAAAATGCCTTTTTCTGTGTCTTTATTTTAAAAAAGTTTTTGGTTACAAGTTTGGTTAGGATATTCTGTCTCTTCTAGTGTCCCTTCTGTTAGCTGTCATTCTCTAAGAATGTGTCCATTCCATCCAAATTTCAGATTAGCGGGGAGCTGTCTGTGTGACCCTTTTATGTATTCATGATCTGCAGATATGCAGTGTGCTCACTCTCTCTTCTTCTCTCATTGAACCATTCAGAAATTTATCCATTTTTGTTGGTCTTTTCAATCAGTTAATTATCTCATTCTTAATACCATTTGGTTTCTCAAGAATTACTTAGAAATGTATTTAAATATATCATAGGTCTTTTGTTCTTCTAGAAAATACTTTGTTATTTCTATTTGATCGAAAGCATACTACGAGCTGGGAAGTGGTGATACATGACTTTAATCCCAGCACTCAGAAGGCAGAGACAGGGGGATCTCTGTGAGTGATGGAGGAGGGTTATCTGTCTATTATGTTATTTTCATTGGTCAATAAAGAGACTGCCTTGGCCCTTTGATAGGACAGAAAATTAGGTAGGCGGAGTAAACAGAATAGAATGCTGGGAAGAGGGCAATGAGCCAGACCCCATGGAGCCAGCCACCAGGTCAGACATGCTGAATCTTTTCCGGTAGGCCACTACCTCGTGGTGCTACCACGAGATTATTAGAAATGGGTTAATATCAAGATATGAGAGTTAGTCAGTAACTAACTCTCTAGAGATAATGGGCCAGGCAGTGTTCAAATGAATATAACTTGTGTGTTATTATTTCTGGGGCTAAGCTAGCTGTGCGGGAGCCGGGCAGGATGAAAAGCAGGCCTGCCCGCAGCCCACCACTACATGTGAGTTTGAGGTCAGCCTGGTCTTTAGAGTGAGTTCCAGGACAGTCAGGGCTGTTACACAGAGCAACCCTGTCTTGAAAAGCAAACAAACAAACAAAAAGCATACCATGAAATTTTTCCTCATTTGCACTTTATCTTTGCTTGCTTTATTGCTATAAGGAAAGGCTTCTGCTCTGCTGTTGGGCATGCTGGGCTATGTCCATAGTCTGACCTCACTGTCTGTAATGTGTCAATCTCCCACATCCTTGCTGCATCCTCCCCTGCTCACAGGGCCAGTCACTGAGAGATATCGCTATGCCACTGGTGCGTGTTTCTCCTTAATATTACAAGGTCTTTGCTTTCTGTGTCTTTAACCCACTTTACAAAATGCTTACTAATTTGGAATTTTTCTGTTTTCCTAAAAAGTAAACACGTAGTCATCACTAAGTGCACCTCTTCACCTCTGATGATGGTCTGGTTTTCAAGGAAACACACAGCTACATCAGTTTTCTTATGATTATGTGTGCATAGTAAATTTTACTATTTTTTTTTTACTTTTCTACCTCTCTATTTTAGATATTGGCATAAGAATGGCAGATACTTTTGCTTATTTATCAACATGTGCTAATCTTTGTCTTTAAGAATATAGTTGAGATGTTTACTGTAAATAAATCTAAATTCACATCCATGTTTTAAGGTTGATAACTCTCATTACCATGCATACGTTGAAGAAACTGTTGAATTGTTGAGATGGTTCAGTGGGTAAAGGCTTCTGTGCCGACAGCTTGATGACCCGAGTTCCTTCCAGGGGAGCACACGTTGGAGGAGAGACCAGCCCTGCTGGCTGCTCTGTGGCTTTCAGAACATGCTGACCACATGCATTTGTGTGGGCATGGGCACAGGCACACGGGAATGAGTGAATGAATGAATGATTAAAATAAAGAAATAGAGTTTATTGCAGGAATATCATCTATTACTTGACTGAAATGTCTACAAACTATTTCTAATTGAGTGTTTGGGAATTGGTGTGTGTTCCCACCCTTGTCTTTTTTGTGATGTAATTTCAATACATACAGCACTGCCATTTTATTTCTTTTGTTTGTTGTAGTTGATGGTGGTGGTGTTTGAGACAGGGTCTCACCATAGCTCTGGCTGGCCTGCAGCTCATTGTTTAGACAAGAGAGCCACCTGCTTCTGCATCCCGTGTCCTGTCCACCACCACACCCAGCCAATGGTACATTTTATGATCTGTGTTTTGTAAAATACTGTAACAATTTCACATTTGCTCTCCAGGGCTGTGACTCCCAGGTGAGCTTGTCAGAAGTGTCCTGTGGTGAAAGTACATCCTCCTGTCAGTCCCTTGAGCACGGCTCCGTTCCAGAGATCCTCATTGGGCTCCTTTACAATGCCACCACTGGACGGCTATCAGCAGAAGTGATCAAAGGCAGCCACTTCAAAAACCTGGCAGCAAACAGACCACCGAGTGAGTGAAAACCAATTATATTTACTTAATGCTTTCTGCACTTAGGGGACTTGCATCATTTTAGTCTTAACCAATTACAATGAAACACTGAATCATCAGCCAATCTGTTTTACGTTTTCTATTTCCAGTCATTTGGGAAGTAGAAAATGTGAAATTCAAAATATTAATTGTATGGTAACAGAAATTTTTAAGTTTACATAGTGTCTGCAGAATAAATTATCCCTACTGTAGCCATTATCTTTTAATGCCAGAAGAAGTTACAGGGCTTGAAGAAGTGCCTGCTGTTCACAGTGAAAGAACTGTGTGCAGCTTCTGTTAGCGAGAGACTAGTGTCCTGTTTCCTGTCTGTGCAGTGTTCTGAACTAATGGATCCACTTCTGGATTTCCCTTCCTTTACCCTTAACACCTCATGAAAAAAGTATTTTCTTGAATTTTCTTCTTTGAAATTATAGGTGTTAAGGATGTAGCTGAGTGGTACAGCATGTGCTTAGCATGTACAGGCCTAGGGTGCAGCACAGCACCACACAAAAATAAAAAACAGAATCTTCACCCTACACAACCAGCATGCCTTTTCTTCCCAGTACAAAAGAAATCAGGACAAGAGCTTTGCCCTGGGTAGACTGAGTGGGAGCAAGGGCGTTTGTCTGCTCTGACTGTCCCCTCTCCTCTCCACTGAAGATGAGAGTAGGTGTGGGAGGTGCAGAGAAAATGTCCCATCCCGTTTTACTGTTGATGTCTGTGAGCCAGATCTAAATGGGCACAGAACAGCTCCTCCAGATTTCTATAGATTAAACCTCTTCATGCCCTGACTGAAACTCTGAAAAGAAATTGCGAGTGATTAATAGCTTAAATTTGTTTACGGATTTCCAAGAGACTTCCTTAATACACTGTTAATCAGGGTGCAGGCAGAGGGGAAGCTTTTTCTATCCTTTACGTTAATTTTGCTTTTTAATGCCATAAAAATCCATTGTTCAATGCAGGTGAAACATCATTAAAAGATAATAGGTTTATGCCAAGAAATGTTGGGACATGCATCACAGAATACATCTATCCCTAAATTGAGAAGCCTGGAGGGCAAGGCAAAAGAGATGGCTCAGCAGTGAAGAGCCCTGGCTGTTCTTCCAGAGAACTCAGTTTAATCCCAGCACCCACATGGTAACTCACAACCATCCAGAGCTCTAGTTCCAAGGGATCCAGTCCACTCTTATGGCCTCTGCAGGCACCAGATACACACATGGTGCACAGACAAACATTCAGGTAAACACTCACACACACACAGAATAATAATTCAAAATTTTAAAAGAGATATCTAAAGAGAAAAATTATAACCTCCATAGACAAATGGCCTGACCCTGCAGGGCTGTTTCTTAATAGGTAAAGTTAAGTTTATATATTTACAGGGTAATTGTGAGACTCAGATCTGACGAAGGTACATAAAAGTAAATTAGTACCATCCACTTTCTCATTTCAAAGGGAGTAAAAGGACCGAGTGAGTAAAAGGACATTCTGAGACCAGGCAGGCTGGGGAGTTCGACTTGACTGTCTCCGTGCAAACACACTGAGACTCTCTCCACAAAGGGCTGGAGAGAGCCTGAACACATGTGAGCTTGTGAGGCCATGACAACCACATGTGCTTACCTGACCACAAGACACAGACCCAATGACCATGTAACACTCCACCATGAGATAAAGATGCACGTCAGTCTGTGCCTCACACTTAAGATGGCCGTTCAATAAGTGTTGACAAATCCTTAATTGGACATGTCAGAAGTGGCAGAATGCAATGATAGTGTGGCCTAGAAACAGCACAGAAAGTCAGAATGAAGGGAGCAGAGACAGGGTGGATAGGAAGCGTGTTAAGACTGCTACGTGCCTACATGGTATCTGTCCTTGGGGCAGAGGGGTGAGAGCAGTTGCCATTATTTTAGAATTAGATCCTCAGCCTCCAGTTGGTCAGTATCTTTAGCTAGGAAGTCACTAGTAAATAAGTAAAGCCAACTTTTGAAATAGTGATATGAGGGTAAAGCATTTATAAAAGACATGCCAGATAGCTGCCAAGCAAAACTGAAGACAGTTGTGTCAGCATGTCCTAAGTCATAGATTACAGCCCTTAGCCCTTCACTGATACGCGGGGTCTAAGAACTGCTGTCAGCCAGGTAACCTCAGACTCCGCCGAAGATACAAGAGCAGCATTCATGAGCACATATTCTGATAGTCACACTTCATTTTGCATAACTGAGTTCTTGATTATATTGGAAGTAATCAGACTATTTGAAATACTAAATGTTGCATGGGTAAAATTAAAATGTAGCACAATAGTAGTGATCCTATAATGGTTGTATCCAATCTTTTATAACCTGATAATTTGCATGATTCTTATATGTTCAATGTGCTTTAGACTAAGAAGATACCATTATAAATATGTTCCCCTCTTAAAACAGTGTAATTTTTATTTAGGATTACACAATGATGTTAAATTTTTTTTATTCCTTGAAATCTATAAAACAGCCCTTTGTTCAACCCTCTACTTGAATTAAAATGCTAAAGTTTTGTGTTTTCCACTCAAGTGCACAGTGTTTCCTCTTTAATTCTGACCTTTGACCCTCCTTCGCCCAACGATTGACATCTGGTCATTATTTCTTTTACTGCTTTCCACCCCCTGTTGTCAGATGGACTGTTCTGTTGTCTAAAACACTTGATAGGTGGACAGGTTTATATAATCCGAGGTGAGTTCCTGTAGAGGCTAATTGGATGTTGTCTTTTCATGCAAAACAAAATGCCCTAAAACTTGCCAGCAGTGAGACTGTCCACCATGTTGGTTTCCAAAACAATGCACATTTTTATCTGTGGTATTTTAAATAAAACTAACTTAAACTTTATCTCTGATTATGGATGATGGTATTCAGAATATCAACAAATGAGCAAAACCTTTTAAGATAAGTTATTTTTTATTTCTTTGTATTTTGATTTATGATAGAAACAGATATTTCATGAGACCATTGCAATTATCTTTAATTGTGATATAAAGTACACATGATGGATCAACATGCTGAGACCATTTGCATGAGTCTAACAGACTTGGAAAGTCTTTAAAGAGAATATATCTTTCATATAAAAAGGCCTTGAAGTGTTACATTTCACTCTGTACACTAAACATCATGCCAGTGTCTTTGCAATTGGTGAAAATAATTAAAAATATCATTCTTAATATTTTACATTAAATTATGCCTGAAAGAAACCCAGTAGTATTTAACTACCCCCAAGTCCTCGGAAAAGCACATTAAATGTACTCTTGCATGAAACTGGAAGAAAGTTTTACTTGGTTTGCTAAACATTGATCCCTTAAGGCATTTGGCTTCATTTGGGCCCTTGAATATTTTCAATGTGTATTTAAAACCACATCCATGCAGAGATTCTCTTGACATTTCATCTTCAGCTGTTGAGTGTCACCTTTGCGTTCCTGTCTTCCTCCTCCCCTCTCCATCTGCCTTCACCTTCACCTCTGTTTGTTTGTTTACTCTCTTCTCTGAGAACAGTGGAATGCTGTAGTGTTGTGGCTAACTGAGCTTGCTAAGTGTCTATTGATGCTATGATGTCCCGCTTAGTGGAGTGAAATAGGGTGGTGATGGGCAGGGGAGGCTGGGGAGGCTGATGAGGGGTGGGAGGGGGAAGGAAGGATTATGAGGTATACCTTTAAATTCCATTCCTAGAAACAGTGAGGCTAAGTCATTGCTACTATCAAGAATTTCAGCCAACTTAGTATTCTCTATACTTGTCACATATTTAATAAGCATCTGCATCAAAATTGAGTTAGTTCAGTTTCCATCAAACATGGTATACACCATATCCTTATAAAGCGTGACTACCTAATCTTGACATTTATCATTAGAAAACTGTCAGTTTGTCTCAAATGATATTTGTGGTGTGTTGGTTTTCTTCCTTCAGATACATATGTTAAATTAACATTGCTGAATTCCATGGGCCAAGAGATGTCCAAGTGCAAGACATCCACCCGCAGAGGGCAGCCAAACCCGGTGTACAAGGAGACTTTTGTTTTTCAAGTGGCCTTGTTTCAACTTTCTGATGTGACTCTGATACTGTCTGTGTATAACAAGCGCAGCATGAAAAGAAAGGAGATGATAGGCTGGATTTCCTTAGGTTTGAACAGCTCTGGGGAGGAGGAGCTCAGACACTGGACTGCGATGAAGGAGTCCAAGGGACAGCAAGTGTGCAGGTGGCACGCCCTGCTGGAGTCCTGAGCAAGGAGCTGCTCCCTGGAGAGTCCTCGTCAACACCCTGCCACAATGCTGCACACTTTTGAAAGGACCATCAGTGCTGAGCTAAGGGAACGGGCTTTGTCTCTGGCAGAGCTCTGTGAGAAACCAAGAAACTTGTCAGTAGTGTCCCGCAGTCCTCCAGAGATTGAAGAACATGCTTTTGATTTGAATTTTATTTTATTTAGTGAAAAAGCTAGGAATTTCATGGTGATTGTGGTTTTCAGGCCAGAACTTCCATTGCAGCACTGCGTGTCCTCACCCACACCCTACCCGTAAAGTGTCTGACGGCCAGTCCTTGGTGAGGCTCAGCGGTCACGGCACGTCTCCGGCTCGTTCACGCTGATGGTTTGATCTCAGATGTGTTCTCTCTGTGCCTCAGCCTTTCTTGTAGTACTAAACCCAAGTGCAAAATTCCCCAAAGCAAAGTTTAAGCTTGGTTTCTTTGAAGTTTGTCTTTGCTTCTTTCTTTCTTTTTATCTCTCTCTCTCTCTCTCTCTCTCTCTCTCTCTCTCTCTCTCTCTCT